TATTCTGAAAATTTTTCAGAATAAATAAATACCTATATATTGAAACTTAATAACAAAGTACTGAAACATACAGCGCCATAATATCTCGACCTCCGCCCGTTATGCTCGGAACAGGTTGAAAAACAATGTATCTAAAACAACTGATGCGTTATTCTCCAACCTGTTTCGAACCTCCATCGACAATCGACCGATGCAGCAGCGTTACTTTCCCACTCCGATTATCTCGACCGCCGCCTGTTATGCTCGTAACAGGTTAAAAAACAACGTATCTAAAATGACTGCTTATTTTCTATACGTTATTCTCCAACCCGTTGCGAGTCTCCATCGACAATCGACCGATACAGCAGCGTTTCTTTCCCACTCCTGTTATCTCGACCGCCAGGCGTTATGCCCGCAACTGTTTCAAAAAAGCTGCTTCTTTTATATCCTATTATTTTTAAGCTGTTGCAAGCACAACACGACCATCGACCTATGCAGCTACGTTCGCCGCGCCGTAGCGCATTCCCCACTCCGTTGTCCGTTGTATCTCGCCGCCTGTATCGATGGTTGTCCAAATAACATGTTTTCCATCCATACTAGTTGTTTTTTGGAATTGCTTCGAGCAGCATCGAATTTCGTGGCGGTGCAGAGCGCCGACTTCGTTTCACGAACGGTCGATCTCTACTTGTCGTTATTTTATATCTGTTATTTTTTAGAAGTAGTAACGGTTGCGTTATGTTATTTCTAAATAATTGTTATAAAATAACAGATATAGTTAAATAACAACCCATCACTACGTTTACAAAATTGTATGTGAAAATGATTTAAATGTATTATAATATCCGTCTGTCCATCTGATGACTCTATTCGGGTACCTCTATCCACGTGCCGAGTTTGGTTCCAATCGACCTATAACTAAAAAAAATCCTGATGATTTCGTTCATTTAAAGGCATCGGTTCGAAACATCGAGGGTCGAAAAAGAGAAACATCGACATGTCTCCAATTATGCCGAAATCTACACACATTTTTATTCAATATCAAATCCTTAGTCCCACCTTGTTGAAGATGTAAACGAAACGTCGTATCCAACTTTGCATGGTGGGACTGTGTGTGCCGTCGCTCACATAGCCTACCTACCAAATTTGGTCGCTGTCGGACGACATCAACTTTTGACGTTTCTTACGCTTTACTGTCAGAGTGACACGTGTCGTACACGGTTGGCCTTAGTCCAATCTATCGACATACCAAATTTCATTTAAATCGGACGTTTTTTTCTCATTGATGACGGGGTTTCATAGTGCACGAAACGTCGTCAAAATATCACGAAAAGATGGAACTCTTTGAGCCCCATCTACATTCCGAGTTTCATCCACCTCTAGGGCCTGAGTTACGACGCTCTAAAGACCCATCTCGACTTCCTCATTGGCTTACCATTTTTTCAATCGTTACCACTTCGTCTCGCCAGCTCGTGTGTCACGGCCTTGAATTTTTACTCCCAGTGCGCACAAAGAAGTTTCACTTCAAAAACTAATATAGTCGGACACTCGCCAGTGTTAAGCTTCATTCAGAACCTAGCAATTAGTGGAATAAATTAGTGGTTTCAATTAGCGTAGAAGTTTGTTACTCTAATTTGAATGTAACCATTCAGAACGTCAAAATTAGTGGTACGAATTTTCAATTAGTGGAAAAAGTTGCCAGACTTTTACCCTTTTACTAATTATACTTCAAAATTTGCGAAGAATGCCATTTTGGCCTTTGATTAATATCCGTCAAGAGAAAATATGGTTAGAAATCAAAAGTTTATTATTTTTTTATAAGCGAAATATTGGGCTCTCTCTATGGATACAACTGATTACTGCAAGCTGTTGCTAGGATATTCTATTAATTTTAATTGTGTTTTTTAGACGTTGTGAATGATCGTAAACTAAAAAGTATAAAGTGTAATTGAAAACACTAATTTATTCCACTAATTGCGAGGTTATGAATGAAGCTTTATTTAGAATATATGAGTACTAAGTAATAGAGAGTAGTATAGAGTATTTAGGAAAATATGGGGGAGTAAACAAAATAAAATAAAGGTTAAGGGATCTTTTGATGTATAAGTTCCACTGTGATTAACTAATCGGCATTTTAGTTGGAAAATAGTAAAAAAGTAAAGGTTTTCTCAATACCTTTATTATTTTTGGATATACGACTTTCAAAATACTGCCCATTTTTCTTTCAGTTCTACAATTCATATGGTCGTGATTCGGCTTCATTGTTTAACACTTACATTACTTTTACTTGGTCCGAAAACGAGAATTTGTTCAAAATATTCTAATTATTTGTTCATAATCTAATTATTTGTTCATAATATTATTATAATTTGTGAATATATTTAAGAACAAAGGAAGTGCATCAGACTGCGGAAATTACCGGGGAATTTTACTATTGGCTATCGGAGGAAAAATTCTTGCAAAAATTATGTCAAATCGCCTTCACCCACATATAGAAAGAATCCTTCCAGAATCGCAAACGGGTTTTCGCACCAACCGTGGCACCGTCGATTCCATATTTTCAATCCGCCAACTACAGGAAAAAGTAAAAGAGCAGCAGTCTAAACTTTATGTTGCATTCATCTGTCTAACAAAAGCCTTCGACTCTGTGTACAGAGATGCACTTTGGGCAATTATGAAAAAGTTCGGAGTACCCAACAAATTCCTTACAGTGTGTAAAAGCCTCCATAACAACAACCAGTTAAGAGTGTCACATCATGGATCACTGAGCGATCCCTTCCCGACTAATAGAGGAGTTAGGCAGGGATGTGTCTTAACGCCTCTTCTATTCAACATATTTATATGACGGCGGTCTGTTCAATATAAAAAGACTGAGGGCAAAAACACGTACAAAATTCATCACAGAACTTCAATACGCTGTTGACTGCGCTCCAGTTGCAAATACGTTACAACAATTACAAGAAATGTTAAACACATATACCTGGGCATACGAGGCTTTGGGCCTTAAGCTAAACATCGACAAAACCAAAATCATGTGCACTCCCCCGGAAGATCATAACAATGCTGTAAAAATCGGAGAGGAACTATTGGAATATGTAGCGGAATTTAATTACCTCGGCAGTTTGATTTCGGAAAAGGCCAATATCGACTCTGAAATTCAGCACAGGATTAGCAGCGCCTCAAGAGCATTCTGGAAATTAAAAGACAGGGTTTTCTACAATCATGACTTGAGTACAAAAACGAAACTGGCAGTGTACCGAGCAATTATAATTGCCACAGCGTTGCTCACTTTTACATATTTTATGAAGCAAAAATAAATTAATTATAAATATATAAAGAGTTATTATTTACATCAACAAAACTCACCTTCTTAACAGCCCATAAGGGACATAAAGGGCCATTACTACCGTTTTCCCTTTCAAAATATTGTAATAAAGTTGCAATGAGTTTTTTTACGGCTATTAAGCTATCTTATACACTTTGCACTAAAAGAGGTTCTAAAAAGAACAATGTTCGGCTGCAAGGTCTGCTAGTAAACGTTTTGAAGCTTAAAGTATCACCACAGATTAGGTATACTATATGTATACAGATAAAAATCTTATCCCTAATTCGTGGTGCAAAAATTGTTTTTTATCACGATCTGCAAACGAGTAAAATTTCCTGTGCGCAAAAATAAAATCGCGTAAAATAACAATAAACAGCGTAATAGAGAGATATCGCTAAACCGAATAGCGTGCATGGACGTTAATAAGGCCAGGTTTGGCCAGCTGTTATTTCTTTTACGTGAGGTGGTATTAACTCTCTTTATTTATAGTTATCGGATCGGAAAGAATTCTGTTCGCGTCGCGTCCGCTATTTAAACTTAACCTAACTTTGAATTTAAAACTTTGAAATTGTTTTGTTTACTAGGTATTTTAAAACTAAATGGCTAAAGTGCTTATTTCCAGTGCTTTATTGTTCAACGTCTGCCAGTGGGTTTAGGGCAACAAGCAACAAATTCTCTTAGAAGGGCTAAGTCTTCATCTGCTGTAAACCTAAGCCTCTTTAGAGGTTCTTTAATATTGGAAGAGGCGGAATCCATATTTTGGACCACTATTATTTAAATAAAACTAATTCCAGCTACTTAAATATCAAATTACCTAATAAAACTAAAGTAATAATTCAAAACAATTCAAACATAACCTAAAATAAAAGATCTCGCCGGCCGGCCCCGGTTGTCAAATACCCACACATGCCCATTTAAGCAATTTTTAAACGTTATTTAGATATAGCGCTTGGTGTAATTGATCCGCAAATTACTTCAGGCGGTAACGTTATTAGCGGGTGTTGCGTTAAAAATTGACTCGCGCATATCGTAACCATGATAAGGTACGCGTAAATACTGCATGACGCTATTCGGTTTTCCGATATCTCTCTAATAACTGTGCCGGCCAGGCGCTGTGCACAATTTTAGAGGCCATAAGTGGGCGTGCTATGTGCGCAAACTAGTATCCTAACTAGTGCCCGATTCCGAAAATTGGAACCACGAAAAACAATAAAGAAAAAATAAAGTTTATAATCTGTCTAATCTGTGGTATCACAACACTATTTTTTTAAACCAAAAACTTATAATACTATACTAAAGTATCAAAACGTATGACAATGTCAGGAAATAAATAAATAAATATGGTAACTTGACATTTTTTACAGCAGAAGTACCACCTGAATTACCAGCGGGAAATTTAAATTCCAGTTAGTCAGCCCGGCGGAATATGTCCATGGTTGGCAACAATGAATTTAAAAATCGCGCTCTCATTTTCGTAACTAAAAGTTTAATTGGTATCGTTTATAGAAACATACGTAAATTAATAAATTTTATTAAATAACCACGCCTTATTATAATTCTACGCCATTTTTATTTGTCGATGCAAAAGATATTTTGGCAAATGGCGCTACTTGTTTATTTATACTATGCTACTATTATGTTATTGTTCGACCTTAAAAACGATTGAAATAATAAATCAAACTATTTTTTATTTGTTCAGGGAAAGGATAGTCCCTCCCCCAGCAACACCCCCTACCTCTGTAGACAGCGAAACTCCACGAACAGTGTGAATCAGGGAGTGAGCGACATGGAAAAGGGAGATCTTCTGGAAAAGGGAAACCTTCTGGAAAAGGGACCTGAAGGATCTTTACAAGGTGACTGTGATTGCAGTTTGAGAGGCTCGCAATATTCGCTTAGAGGTTAAATAAATGTAGGTATCTAACATTTTGTTATTATCTCGTAGAAATAAATAAACTTTGGGGGATTCTAAATACTTAATTAGCAAAGCCGTTTTCACATTAAATAGAATAAGAAGTTAAAAGATAAGTATAAATTTTATTTTATTTTGAATGCCTGAAGGCAAGTGTATTGTTCCGTGTATGGTGTAACCACAACTTTCTTAATTCACTTGACTAATGTACACAGAATACCTTACAGAAGCCGTCTGGTCGTGCTGCTTCTGTAAGGTATTCTGCTAACTTTAAAAACTATGAGAAGTATTGATTTAGCTTTTCAAAAATATTTTTCACATGCTATATTATGTTTTTTTACGCGTTTATCCCTGGTATTTAACAATCAACTAACAATATTTGAAAACCAACGTCATTAAATTTATAGCTTAAAAATATAACAAAAATATACTCACTTAAAATTTGTTTCACAAAAAACTTGTGTCCCTTCTGTATAGTTTACTTATTTCTTTGGAGAGTTTAAAAAAAATAAAAAACAAATTCTTCAAACCGTTTTTAACACAATAACGTCATAGATCAGACATACTTAACTCCGCTTAATATACTATAACACTTCTAAAAATAAAACCTTTTAAATATGCAATTCTAATCTTTCAAACAAATTTTATGGTTTTGGTCTTCTTTGACACGTCAAATTATCATTTTACACTTTTAATACGTAGTTTAGACGGAGTTTAATATACATCTGTATTGCGTCGTTTGTCATATCATATTTAAGTTTGAGCTGTCGTTTTTGAAATAAACCTATAGAATTGCTTAAAATCAACGAAGGACGCTGCATAACGGATGCATGTGAACCCACACTTAAATAAATTGTATAAAACATTTTGTTAATACTACATAATTTGACAAGCAAATTGTCAGATGTAAAACCATTTTTTTTTAATCTGTCGCTTTTTGCGGTTGGTATTAAGGAGTATAACCGGGTTTTATCGACCAAGGTTATTAATCCTTTACTAAATATCTTCTAATTATATGACAGGTGCCCAGAATAGCTGCCTTTTGTGCAATTCCTGCTAATGAGTTCTTTAGATTCAGCGTTTGTAAGTTGTTCATGAATCTTCTTTCAATGAGTCCGTTGCACGATATGATGAACGGTAATATTTGAACTTTCTTCAGTTTGTACACGCGTTTTAATTCGTAGCTTAGGTCTTGATACTTATTAATTTTTTCTGCATATGTTTTTCCCAGATTATCATCAAGTGGTACAGCTATACCTATCAGTTGTGCTATTTTTTGTTTTTTATCAATAAGAAGTATGTCGGGTTTGTTGTGTGTTATTTCTTTGTCGGTTATTATTGATGTGTCCCAGTATATTTTCCAGTTGTCATTTTCAACGACTGCTGACCATTATTAATATCATTATCATTTTCAGCTTATTCAACCATTTCCAATTATGGTGTAGCCTCCCTCACATACTCTCTTTGTAGTTGGGTCCATTGTTGTCTATTGTTGGCTATGCGGGCCTAAGTTATCCCTGCTAATTTACTAATATCATGGTCCCATCTCACTTTTGGTCTTCCTCTAGGCCTCTTAATTCCTCGTGGGTACCATGCTGTAATTTTTGTGGTCCATCTGTTGTCCGTTCTTGTTGCCAGGTGTCCTGCCCATTGCCACTTGAGGGATTTGACTCTGTGGATGACATTACCTGGGTCTTTTGTCGTATCCACTCTATTCTTTTACGATCTCTCTTGGTTATTCCTAGCATATTTCGATCCATTGAGCGTCGTGCGACCTGCAGTTTCCTCATGATGTCCGTTTTAAGTGTCCAGGTTTCGCATGCATAGGTCATGACTGGTAGTACACATTGGTCGAATGTTTTCTTCGTTAGATAGAGTGGCATTCTAGATTTGGCATTCAAATTTTAATTTTGGCATTGATCGATGTCCGTCACGACGACCATGATTTCGTAATTTACGAAATGCCGCATTGACGCCACCAATCTCATTCATCTGGTCGGCAAGTGATTGTGAGAGTTCGAATCACATTGGAGAAAGATATGCTTATGCGCAACTTATACGATAATCTTGTTCTAGAAAGAAAAAAATAGAAAAATGCACGTGGAAGTCCCGTAAACAAAGTCGTGTGTAATATACATATGGCATAGCTCGAGGGGTATTTCGCAGGGGAGTTTTGGTGTACAACCTCTAGGAATTAGTGGGGAATTAGTACGGAATTAGTGAGGAATTAGTAGGGAATTAGAGGAATTAGTGGGGAATTAGAGGAATTTAGTAGGGAATTAGAGGAATTTAGTGGGGAATTTGTTCGTTTGTAGATGATAATAACTTCATTGATACAAATACCTCATTGAAAAAATTACACAAAATCGATATCCAGAATGAGGATAACGTTCTATCTAAACAGAATAGAAAAAAATATCAAAGGTGTGAGAGGGAGAGACGAGCTAGAGAAAAATTGGTAGATGACCAAAGTTTAATCACGGATTACTTTTTCATCGCTGAAAAAGTGAGCGAAATAGTCATTAAAAACAGTAAGCTAACGAAGGAACTTTTGGAGAATATAAGTGAATTAGAAACTGACCAAAAGACTGATATACCGCGACTTCTCAAAACATTGCAAGATGAATCACTCAAAAATTCTACTTGCTCAAACAATCAAAATAGGTGCGATGATGGTACAAAAAAAATTGCGGTGTATCTCTTTTATATTGGAGGCAGGTTACTTTACGAAACACTACAATCAAATTTGAAAAATAGCTTACCCTCAATTTCTACGCTAAATAGATTCGTGGACGCTAAAAACGACGCCCTACAAGAAGGTGAATTTGATTTCAAAGGCCCCTCGTCTTTTAAGAGCTATGCTTTTAAATACTGATTTGGTATCTTCTTTAGCAGAAAAAAAACATATTCCACACACAAGCTGCAGAGCCCCTATATTCTTCGTCAGTTCCAGACTGGGAATGGTATCAGTGTAGCATAGACAAAATGAAGAATGCTCTGTACAGGACACCACTCATATTTTAACAAAAATGCGTACGCGTTTCTTAAAACCGAAAATAAATCTACCGATTGGAAAATATACTGCCACCTCGGATCATTTCTGGGAATTGGCCCTAAAGGTTTCAAAAGATAAACACCTTCTTACAGATTCTGATCTCAAAAATGAAGACAAAATGAATTTTGCCTCCGCAGAAAAAATGTGCAGTCTGATGGTAATTGAACAACTTAATAAGGAAATTCCACAAAGTAAAGGTAGTGTGGCGTATATTAAACTTATGAATTACGTTAAATCGTCGTTCCTCGATTCCAGCACTGTTTTGCGTATTCGGCTATATCGCATCTGGTATGTAGTCACTAATCTTCACTAGAATCTGGAGAGCTTGGATTAAAAAAAAAGAATACAAAATATCAGAAAAATTTTTGACCAGTAATTGTTACCTTTGCAACGAGATGAACGCCCACGCTTTAATTAAACTGATACTGAAGATTAAAAACTGCCAGTTAAGACCAGAAATGTTAAGCATCGGCATTCTTGGTAGCCAAGCCTGTGAATCCTTATTTCGTTCTGCAAGATCCATGACCAAACCAAACCATTAATCAATTTTAGGATAAAGGATATTTATGCTGAACCGAATTGAAAGAATTAGCACAATAAATGATACCATAAATGATCTAAGGGGAACTTTTGCATTTCCAAGAGAAGACAACAGATTGAAAAACAGACTGAAGGAAGAAAAATTACCACTGGAAGAAGAAGTCCCCAATTTGGATATCAAACCTACAGTTGAAGCTCTCCAAATGGTCGTAGAAGATATGAATCGTTTTGGAATCAATGCCAAGAAAAACGACTGGAAATATATGCAAATACCATTATTTACAAGACTGAAGAAAAACGGACAGGACAACGAAGATGATGTTGAACTTAACGAAAACTCCGAGGAAAATGAAATTGACCAAGATGTAGCAAATTGTGTTAATAATGAAGATTGTATAATTATGGACAAGGTTGCGGACTTAATTTCTAACGAGATCCCAAATCGCGAATGTGATGATTCTTTGGAAACAAATTCCATAAGTTTAAAAGATTTTTCCCAAAAAGTACATAGCATCTCGGAAAAATCACCGTATAGACAACTCACTCTTGGCAAGAAATCTTCGATTATTAAAAAGTCATCGTACTGCTGGCTTTTAGATCAGTCAGATCAGGTAGAGCGAGTACTGACCGACTGAAAAAATTCATAGAAAATGCAAGCAAAACACAGAAAAAAAACAGCTTCTAAGAAGTCCCAGTTGCCCTTGGCAATGAAAAAATCTAAATAGAAGTTACCTATGGATCAAGCTGATAGTACGAGCACAGACTCCTCTACTGATTCGGACGTGATGGAACTCGACGACTCCGATGATTCGGAAGAGTTTTCAGATAGAATGCTTCCCTCCAATTTATCGGAAACTGATGGACTCGATATACATTTAGAAAACTATTACGCGGTTTTCTATGACCAGTCGTGGTTTATTGGTCGAATTATTGAAGATTAGGGGATGTGCAAATTATAAATTCAGGTTTCTGAAAGCAGAGCTCGACAGTTTAACGGTCGATTCTCACTATACCTTCCATATCAGCTCCCTTCCGTTTCCCTTCCGTTTACATAAAATATTATATCATGTAAATGAATAGGACAATGCACACTATCCGTTCCGTTTCCCTTCCGTTCCATATCCTCTCCCCCCATACATTTTTTTGTCAGACGGACTGAAGCGTATCGGAAACAGCGTTGTCGAGTTCTTACATTTGTACCAGCTCTGTTAAAATGTTGCTGATATTTATTAATTTTTTCACCTCTTAATTAAATCTGTTACCTTTTTCAAAAGATACAAATTTTTGAAATAAAACTTTCGTAATGATATAATTTGTATAATAAAAAGTATGGAACTGATACGGAACGGAAGCTTACGTATAGCGTCCATACAATAAAAAATACGGAACGGATATGGAATGGAAACGGAACGTATAATGAGAATCAACTTTTATTTGACCCAAGAAGGAAGACACCGATATCGTTCATCAAGAATTTATTTTTTTGATAATATCATAATATTCAATTAATTTTTTTTCGATAATATAATATTCCACAAGAAATGTGTCCAATACTTTAACTTTTTTATGTTTTTTGATAGAAAAAATATGGTGTTTTTTTATTTTAAAACCGAGGGTTATATCTACAGCAAACACTATAGACATTTGTTGAATACCTTATCATCATGTGTGGCCTAGTTTACGTAAGTTATTCGAGGAGGAAATTAGTAATAGTAGGGGAATTAGTTGGGGAATGAGAAGAATTAGATGGGAATTAGAGGAATTAATTGGGAATTAGGGGAATTAGTTGGGGAATTAGCGGAGAATTAGTATACATCTTGAGAATTAGTGTACACATTTTATCCTGCGGTTTACCCCTCGGTATAGCTTTATCAACGAAGTTTATAAGATCTAAGAACAAGATTACATATTCGGACAGTTCCGCGCGTTTTATAATTTGCGCATATCCGCATCCACTGTGAGAGCAAACCTAATGCTTGCAGAAAACTTCATTGAATCAATATTCATTATAGTGCGTCCAACGAGAAGATCCTTGACAGTGATAGATGCGTCTGTCATTTTAATTTCAAAGTAGTAGTAAGTTTATTTTACAAAGAAATAAGTTGGTACAACTGGAACGCATAGTAGGAAATTAATATATTTAAAATTTGACTGACGAGTGATTAGTTCAAAATATTGTGAAAAAAACTGTATAAAACTGAAAAAATCTAATCGAGTTATTTTATTTAATAAAAAACGGTATGTGTTAATACAAAACAAACAAGAATAAGACACCACATACCAAAAAAATATAAAAAAGAACTATTTCTTACTTTCAAGCTTTATGAAACTTCCCACGTTTATGATTATATTTATCAATATAACTTATATACATATACAAATTTGTAATATTCCACAGGAATAAATAAAACAACATAAATAAAACAAACTATTTTATTAATAATAACACTTACCAAATTTTATACCTTAAAGGTTGATTAATTAACTTTAATCTTAATTTTTTTAAACCAGTACCTTTTGACATTATTTTTCTGCAGTAGGTACTAAAATCCATTATTTACCTATCGTGTGATGTCAATTTTACAGCTACTCCAGTTTTTAGTATGTGTTTAGTATGGTCCTTCTACCATATACGAGATGCACTTGACTTCAAAAGACACAAAACACACGTAATAACACGAATCAAAATGCATCATCTTCCAAAACGCAGGGTATTTGATAAAAGTTGACACAAAATTATAACCTATAATTTGGCAAGACTTTGACAAGCCTCAAAAATCTAAAGGCGAGTTCATACGCATCGGCGTCCGTTTGTCGCTCATCGTTCCGTCAAACCAATAAAATTGAAATACGATCTGTTATTTTTGAAATAAACCAATAAAACTGGTTAAAAACAACAAGAGACGACGCACGACGGATTTATATTTAAACCCATCCATAGTTAACTCAAAAATTATTAAAAACTTTTTTTAGTAAAATAAATAGATTGGTATGGAACGTCATCTGCTTTTCTTCTGTCATTCTCTGTCGAAATTTTACCTGAGAAAAAAAACAGTATAGTATATCATTTCAAATTGATCCAAAGTACATGATTTTCTATTCTATTTTTGTTTATTAAAAATGTTATTTGTACCTCATTCGTTATTTCATTTAGATATTTATAATTGCACGTTAATTTTTATTTTAATATTGATGTTTTAGATAAGCATCACGTTAATGGGAAAACTCCAAAGGACCCTACAATAGGAAATACAGTCAATATTACATAAAACTATTTGATAGTGTGATATCTGCCAAGAATATAGTACTTAAAAAGTATTGAATTTAAATTATACAATTTGCAAATAGATGAGAGAACTATTTGCTACAAATATTTTTGAAACTGCATTCAGAGATTTTATGCTGTAATTATAGCCTGTCTCATTCAATATAGTATTTTCTCGTGTTCTAAAATATTGAATAGTATATCTCAAACTGTTGATAATAATACTCTTATCTTTTTGTTATCTGTGTATATGATTAGTTAATGTTTGTTAGAAATAACTAGGTTGCAGAATTTTAAATTTACCAATACGTATTGATTTTATGAACTCTCCACTTCTGTTAAAAGACCAAAGTAAATTGTACTCTGCCATTGTACTTTGTCCTATGTTAGACTATAACCCAATGTGAATTTTACTTAAGTTTTAACAATTATAATGATAATTTTATTACTATTTCAAATTTAAATAAATCGATCTAAAATAAAAAAAATTAATATCTTTGATTTAATGAAAAATATCTATTATATTTATTATAATTTGTATTGTACTAATTTTGATTTTTATAGTTATTGTTTATAAATCACTGGACCAGCCACAATATCTTCTTTTAAAATAATCCTTTACTATATATCAGAACATCAAATATTCAAAAATCTTATAGTGTATACTATATGATAAGACTGCCTCGACATTGACTACTTAGCAAAATTTCTGTCTAAAATCTGTCCAATGAGTCAGAGATGATTTTGAGAGATTTTTTACCTGTGGATGACAGATACTGTCATGTATCCACTCATTGAACAGATTTTAGTAAGACCAGCAACATTTGAATCATGTGGTATTTCTTCATATGCACTTTTAATTTTAAGTCTTTTAGTACATAAGGTGATATAGTTGTTATCTTTTATGTTTTCCTATTGTGACGGAACACGAGTAATTTTATTAATAAAAATGAAGTATTAAGTATGAATTTCGTAAAAAACTGAAATTTGAGGTCGTTAATATCAATTTATTTGTATAGTGTTTTATTTGATTTAAAATAGGCTAAGTTAATCCGCAATGTCAAAAGTTGTATTGAGGAAAACTTAAAAGATTTATTCTATATAGGTATATGTGTATCCGTCTCATCTAGTCATTTGAGATACAGTATGTGTGAAAAAGATTGTAACAAATGAATAAAGATATCTATTTTATTTATCGCGTTTAAAAAAGTTAATTCTGGTTATTTTTTACCTGCGAGCTTGTATATAATGACATTTATTAAAAAAATCTCGCTTTAAAAAATGCCATATAGCTTCACAAAAATTGACTGAAGGATTTGTATTAAAACACATAATTTCTCTAGCTATTTACACCTAGCTGATCCGCTTTTTCGTAAAAAAAATACCACTTTGTAGTATTTTTTGTCAATCTTAGGAATTACGCCGTTGTTTAGATTTGACAGTTGCTGTCATATGTTCTTTATATTTTTGTTTGCACTTCTTTGTATTTCAATTATTTTCTGTTGAATTTCTATTCCATAATGCCAGCTTAAAGTAATTATTATAATCTTCAGGATGGCTTTTATTAATCTCCTGTAAGAGGTGTTAATCTCGTCTTAATTTTTACAGTTTTTTGTCGTCTTAATTTTTACATTCTCAAAAGTGGCTCACCTCTATAACTTTTTTATTATTTCGGTTAAAAAAACGAGATTTGGTGTGTTAGTATATGACATAAATTAGGATTGATTGGCGTTTTCAATTGTTTTCGGTCACTTCCTGTTTCACCGGAAATGACTACAACTTTTGATTTTTAAATAACACCCTCGGTATTTTTTTATTTTATTCAATAGAAAATAACACTCTGAATAGAATGACGCATATGGTTTATTTGAAATTATAACTTGCGGTTCGTAATGAACATTTGATTCGAAATACCAATGTGTGGTATCAAATTATTCGTAAAAAAATGCTTTTTCTAAATATGCTAATGAGCCACCCTCGTTCCGTTTGAAAAAAATTGAGATATGATTAAAAATACGATTTGGGCATTTTCTAACTGACCAGGATAAGACACTAGTGATGTAAAAATTCTAAGTAATCGTTACAAAGTAACAGTTACTTTACGAGGACTCGAAGTAACTATACTTACTTATGGTGGGTTCATACAGCCAAATAAAATAAAATAAGAAATAAGGAATTCTTATTTGTGTGCGTTCATACAGTCAAATAAAATAAAATAAGAAATATATATTTGCTCATGCGCAGTACGATGAGGCTGGATAAAAGTTAACTTTTACGATTGTTTATAGTAATTTTACTATTTATAGTATATTTATTTATTCGTTGCCTACTATATTATACATTTTACTTATATATAAAATAAATTAAATCGAAACTGAAAATATTTGTAGGTTAGAATTAAGCGTGCGCAAAGCCGTTTTCACATAAAATAAAACAAGAAGTTAAAAGATAAAGACTTCTTATTTTATTTGTTATTTTATTTGGCTGTATGAACGCATGTACGGTATCCCATATAACCAACTTTCTTATTTTATTTTATTTTATTCTTATTTTATTTTATTTGGCTGTATGAACCCACCATACTATTTGAATTTAGGACTCGTTACTCGTTACTAAGCTAATTCGTTACTTTTGCGCCGGCAGTAATCGTAATCCCTGAAAATGCACGAACCGAGGACTCGAAACTCGATACTGAAATATGCCTTACTTCGACGTAGGCAAAGTTTACAGACGTAGGTCTAGTTGTTTTCAATATGTTTATGTTTAAATTTTTGACTTGACGCCGGCCGGTGTTTTGGATGGCAAATGTGTGATATTTTTATTACAATTATTATGATTGGCTCATGCCGACCCGGAGGCGGTCTGTCCCTTTGCCGTTTGTTGTCGCTTTTTATTTATAGAATAGAATTGTTTATTTAGATTAACATGTCTTAGATATTAATTAAAAATGGATTCACGTTAGTCACAAAAAATGTTAACATCTGAAAAAGCAGAGCAAATATTTTTCTTCTTCAAAAGTGAATAGATATTTCGCCACTTACACTGTAAGAAAATCTACAAAATAAAAATAGTAATTTTTAGTAAACACTGGGGGCTGCGTTAATCCAAAGGACTTTTTTGAAGAGATGAATCCGCCACAGAGGTGGAATATACATTTTTTTAATATTTTTACATTTTAACAAAAATATATACATTTTTTTATTTCTACTCTTTAATGTTTGCCTATTTATTAATGTAATACAAAGCGAGAGAGAGAAAATATAAAAAAAATACTTTATATTTATTATACACATATTTTCTTTGTTTGATTTGTTTTCTTTTATTTTTAATTTTATTAATAGTACATAGTTTTATTTAACATATCATTATAAAAATATTATACATATTATTAAAAACATATTATTCAGTACTTGAATACCGAGTATTGAAATTATCCTATTAAGCTCTTACACTAGAAGAAAGTAGGAACCCCTTATAGGTTAAACCGAGCATGCAACGAAGATCGCCGCGCACAATAAGTAACGAAGTTCCACGTCAAGCCCAAGTCTTCCAACCTGTACCTGTACACAAAACAACGATTATAAAGTAACGATACTAAGTACCAAAGTAACGAGTAACTAAAGTAACGAGTCCTATTACCAAAAGTAACTAGTAGTTCCGAGTCCATAAAAGTAACTAAAGTTTACATCACTATAAGACACTAAAAACATTAGACGATACAATCTATTTTTCCAAGGCTCCTTGATTAAGACTTAATGTTTTTAACATAGCCATGGCACTCTAGATTGAAATTTAAAATACAACTTTTATTAAGCAAGAATGTCAAAAATGACATATGATATGTCATTTTCTATCGAATAAAGTAAAAAAATACCGAGGGTGCCATTTAAAAATCAAAAGATTCAAAGTTTTGTTCTGATACCGAAATCGTCGTGTCTATTGCTGAGCAGGCTTTTTATTCTTAAACTCAATATATGAATTGAAATAGATCTAGAATTCCAGACAACGCTTTATTGTACAAAAAGCCAAAATAGCTTCATTGACAAAGCATTACAATACAAATCAATTGAAAAAAAATTTACGTCATTAAAATTACAAATACCGTATGATCGAGAAAAAACGGCGTCAACGATGGCTATGAAGTGAAGATCGCTGTCATTTTATATGTAAAATTATATGGGAAATGTCATCGATCGTCATTTCCCAGCCAACTGGACGCCGTTTTTTTTCGATCATACGGTATAACCAGGGTATAACCAATGGGTATAACCTTGGTATAACAATTAAAACATACATGGACATTGTAGAACACAGGCGTATCAATAAAATTTTACAAAAGGAAAATTGTAAATGGATAAAATCATGTATAATAAAATGAATATCTTCGGAAAAATACCGTATACCGAAGCTGGAAGCTTGTTAACAATTGATTTTGGGTTATCCTAAAAAAATGTTAATCGCCCATATTTTCCGACAAGCAGTCACCTGCAGGGTTGTTCCCAGAAATTATTCGAGTTTCGAGTATGCATCAAGCAACCTCAAATTATGTATATTCAGGATTCAGGCGAAGGTGTGCACCATGGTGTTTACTTCTTTTGTAAGGTTGAGGGAGGAGGGGTTCTACATCGGATTCTGAATATAAATTAAATCATAATTTAGTTATAGACTTAAAAATATGAGTTGTGTATTATTTTGAACTAAGTCTACAAATTATTTTTCCTAGTACTATTATAGCATTCTCTTCAGTATATTCAGTAAGATTATAGAGAGGCTTTATAATTTTTGATATTTTGAAATATGATAATTGTGCATATTTTTCCATTGTGATGCATATTTTGCATATTATATTTAAAATTAAATTAATGAAGTAAATTGTGCATAATATCCATAATTGTGCCATCCAGGAATATCCCTAGATATAGTCTATAAAATGAATAACTTTGAATTTTGACCGTTATTTTTTGCCAACATGGCAAATATAAAATCCCTCTATCAAAAAAGTTACTGATATCTCTGCTGATATTTTTTAAGTATTCTTTAAATTGAGTGCCTGAACGAATCAGATAGGTAACTCTTTTTACTTTCGTGAAATAGAAAAGGAAAATAATAAAACAAGTGACAGTTCTTCCTCTTCTTGCAAAAATCAACACGAAATGGCAGAATTGTCAAAAGCAAAATGTCATTAGCTTTTGACATTTCTAAATATCAGACCAATGCCGTCTCTAATAGAACAGCCATGGAGCGAGATTTATGACGTCACGCTAATTAGATACGGATTAATAAATATGTTGTAGAATACATGGAAAACATAATTATTCCTCGTATTTTTGGTTTGTATTTTAAAAATGATATTATAGTTTACATGAAATATACATAATATACAATTAATAAATATAATATATACCTATTTATAGTAATAAATATTTTGGCAAATAAACTATGAACCATACAAATGCAGCAAATGTTTTACAATATACAAATAATGAATAGGTACATAAGATAATGGGTAAAATGTAAAATATATTTTAAATTTTGGGGTTTGAAAAGCGATCTAATTTAACAAAAAACATTCAATATATACTAATAGTGATTTATTATTATTTGCATTCACAAAATTTATATGTACATATATTTTGCAAGTATCAATGTTCGAAAAATTATATTTGCAAATAATACAATATCATACAAAAAAATGCGTCAGCGATGGCTATGAAATAAAGATCGCTGTCATTTTATAATGTAAACTTATTCTGAAATTCTTGATTTTCTTGGGATTTAGGTTCGGGAAAAACGCTGATTAAGTTTTCATTTGGTTTTTCATTATTTTTTTTTGGTTTAAAAAAACGTTTCGGCTAACATTATAGCCTTCATCAGTGTTGTGTCATATAAAAAAAAATAGTGTCGAATATAATCAAAAAATTGCATATAAAATATTCACACCACAAACCACATAATGTTTACTGCAATTAATAAACTAATATAAACTTGTCAAAAGTTGACCACATATTTTTTTAAATTATTATTCTTAACACTAAAACTATCTACATTGACTATGGAGTACGATTTCAGCCATAGTCAAATATAAGGAATAATTATGTTAGCGTGACGTCATAAATCTCGCTCTGAGGCCGTTCTATTAGAGACGGCATTGCGTCAGCATGGCCGCAAGTTGCTAACATTGCTAACCTAATAAAATTAACACTAGAAAAGCCCGCGGGAACTGTCAAATTCAAAGTTATTCGTTTCACAGACTATATCCTTGATTACCTTTTTTTTTGCACTAATTGTATATGATTTAGGATTTAAAAAATTGTGTTATTTGTTTACGACTAATTATTGATTATTGCTATAGAGGAATATAAAATAATTATGAAATTATATTTTTTTTTGTTTCTATTTATTATTTTATGGTTTTTACGAGTTTTTGCTGCATATAGTCACTGACACTACGCATGCGCACATGTTCGATGTTGCCAGTTTGCAAGTTATTTTGGAATTATTTTCAGTAGAAAACAAATATGTGCTTTTCAGTGTTTTTTTGTCAATATATACCGTGTGATCGAAAAAACGGCGTCCAGTTGGCTGGGAAATGACGATTGAGGACATTTCCCAGGTAAAATGACAGCGATCTTCATTTCATAGTCATCGCTGACGCTTTTTTCCATCATAGTACTCGGTATATTATATTATTATTTTAATATTTCGCACAACACGTGTACGCTTATTATGTATTTTCATAGTCAATAAAATTAAATAGAAATAAAACTCTAGATTCCGATAATTAATCTAATTGCTCTAGATTATTATGCTACGTTTAAAAAGGGCTTTATTAAAAATTCGTGAAATTAAAAGGGACGTGTCCAAGTTTTTTCTTCTTTTTTAAATTTTTAAATGTTGTAGCTCCATGTCATGTTCATAATAGTTTTTTTTTAACATTCCATCAAAACTACGGACGCCTTAAAAGGCCTTTTAGCCTCCGTAATTAAAATTGTAGAATCAGCTTCAGCAACATTAACAGTTATACCTCTTGTTTAATTCTGCTTATACATATATTGCATTAATTTTTCTGCTACCTTAAGATTTCTCTATTCTTACACCTAATTTATGTGATTTTCTTAGCATATATGATTTATAAACCATATTTTTCCTAATGGAAGGATGGAATAGGATATGCAAAATTATGATATTTTAACATTTATTTTCCAGAAAAAGTATAATATAATATTAAGATTAAGACATAACAAGTATTATAAGAAAATGAGACAGATCTTAATATAAATCACAAACTAACTAAGTCTCAATTTGGTCTTGTATAAACACAGGTATAAAACTAATAAGATCATAACTCAACCTTCACCATATTGTCAAGATTTGGCATTATAGGGAACAAGAAATTGCAGTAAATTAAGAAAAGAATATCAAAGTACACGATATTAAATACTGGGTAATTACCAAATACTGTAATGTATTCTACGACACAAACCATCTCCCTTCTAAAGAGAAAAAGATAAAACATAAAGCTTATACCGTATGATCGAAAAAAAATGGCGTCCAGTTGGCTAGGAAATGACGATCGATGACATTTCCCATATAAATTTACATATAAAATGACAGCGATCTTCATTTCATAGCCATCGTTGACGCCGTTTTTTCTCGATCATACGGTATTTTAGTCTTATCAACACACTTTTCGATAAAATATATGTCTAAAATTGCTATTAATCCACTAACTTGATATTTTTAAGAAATTATGATACAAACAAGCAAAGTAAATTAATAATCAAAGTTCACAATCTTCATTATCTTGCTTACCTTAATTTTGGATATCAAGATAAATCTGAAATTATAAAATTAGTTATAGAATTTGTATTATTATTGATTAACACTAAAAAAAAAATTTCAACTGCAAATAATTCGAAAATAAACTGCAACTTGGCAACATCGACGATGTGCGCTTGCGTAGTATTGTTGATCAAATACAGCAAATATAGGCTTCAAGGTCAGCATTCGTATATGATGATTAAATAATATATTAGAATCCGTGATCATATACGTACAATTAGTATATATGAACTAGACGTTAGTTCTATTTGGGCCCTTTTTTTCTAGAAGAGAAGAAGAAAATGACATAACTAACAGTTTAACATTTTAAGGTTATATGTGGATTTGTGATTCCTCCGTGATTTGTGAAGTTAAGATTTTGTTTAGGAAATATGTTTCAATAAAATGTTAATGTAGTAGGTGTTATGAGGTATTATTGTTCAAAACTATGAACATATGTATTCTTTAAACACAACAATTAGATAGTGAGCTACTTGAATGAAGCTAATGTGATAATAGTAAAAGCTGGTCTGCTTGAAATTCAATCAGTTGATGAGAATAGAAGTTAAAATGAGTAATTTCAATAGTACGACTTCTTTTAGTTCTAATAAAAGTTCATCACAATTTAGAAATTCAATTTGCTCTAGTAATATGGAACAGAAAATGTGTCGATTATGTTTACGTCAAATTTTGAATCAAAATTTTAAAGTTGTGGATTCTTCCATTACATGTATGATTAAGTTAATTTTACCCGAATTGGTAAGTATCATTTAAGCCAAAACAACAGCAGGCGATTAATATTATATTCAAAAACAATAAATTAAAACTGCATTTTTAACTTTTGATAAAGTATTTATAAGCTTCCGTTTGTAAAATAAAAAATAGAATATACTATTTGTTGTTTTTATACTTCCACTATATAAAATTAGAAAATATTTCAAAGTAATAAAAACGATAAATCAATAATATTTTTTGTTATATGTGTATTTGCCTGGGCAATATTTGCAGTACACTATTGCTCATCTATTTTTTGCACATACCTTTTATAATGTATTTATATGTGCATAGTTTATTATTATACTTAATTTATAATTAGATCATTAATAGAAAAAGACAAAAATACATTTGCTGCTACCATTTTAAATTATTTGTCAATTGTTTGTTCATTTGATTGGTTGGTATGATGGTTTTATCACATAAATGGGTTTAACCAAAGGTTATTAGACTCTGGTTTGACTCTGGTATAATATTCTTTAGTCTAAGTAAATAGAAATAAGACTGTCATCCTGATACATGAAATGCTACCAAACCAGCTACCTGAACAAGCTCAACCTGCATCAAGTTTTTTTTTAATCATGTTTTTCCACTGGACCCTTCATATGCTTTTGAGTGATATAAAAATATGTACAAAATTCAACTGGAACTCTGCCTGACAAGCATCAGAGTGTTATTTTATAATAATTTAATAAGTAAAATTAATGCATTTAATCATATATTTTTTAGAAATTAACCATATGCGAGAATCCAGTAATTTGTAATAATTGTTTAGACACACTGGAACAGTCATCTAAATTTAGAAAAGAGTGTTTAGATAATGACTTTGAACAAGATTGTATAGAAATGAAAATGGATGTAACTCGAATGTTAGATTTAGGCAAGGTAAGTAGATATAAACGCCTTTAAATAAATAAGTAAGAGTTTATTGACGGAAATATATATTTTTTCTTTGCCATTTTTAAAATAAATTAAAAATAACCCAGTTGTTTAACTTTGAAAATTTATAAAAATATTGGCAACCATAGACTTAGAATAAAATATAGACTGAGCATCTCATTCATAAATAGCTGGAAGATGCGGACAGACAACGTCTTGTTATTGTTGTGTTATTGTTTTTGGCTCTAACGAGTGCGACACGAGCGATAGATAGGCTGTCTCCGTCGTAACGGTCGTTTCCTGACGAATTTTTACTACTTAGAAAGTGCTTGATTGGTGGGCTGGCTCATTAATAAACAGTATACATATAAAAACTATAATGGGGCAATTTCCATAGACTTAAAAATAAAAATATATAGACTACACTATTTACATCTCAACGTGGACAAACAATAGTTTTTTGTACCCATGTTTACTTCTGAAGGTACAGTCTTAGAGTCTAAAAACCCTTCCTCATCCAGCCTGTGTTGTCACTGCCTTTAATATTATCAATATTTTTTACTTATTATTTGATGATATATTATTAATTAATATTAATATTACATTTTAGTCAAACATTTACAACTCTAATATTAATCAAAACAGGATTCATTCTATAGATATAATAGAACAGAAAGAGAAAAACTCTATAATTGCTTAATTTTTTTTCCGTAAAAGTGATGTCTTATTATGTAAATTAGAAAACAGGAATTGTTCCATTAAAGCAAGCTTTTAGGAAGTGAAATAAAAATGAAACTACATTTATTTAACCTGCTAATATGTCTTTATTATATATAAGTATAATAATGGTAATGGTGACTATAATTTCATTCAATGGAAATATACCAAATTCAAACAAATATAAAAAGGCATGAGTATAAACAGAGTATTACTACAGTAATATTGAACATTGGTTCAAAATATTAATATTCCATAGATGTATTAAATAGTCCTTATACTACTAAATTATAAGTCGGGATACTGTTTAAAAAGGATAAGTTCTTTACAATATGACAGCACCGGATTAGAGCAGCATAATGAGCCTATTCATTCATTTTATTACCTAGTAGTACGCGTCGCACGTGTGCGGTAAAGCTTGCTGCCGCCATCTCCCCCGGCCGTATTAACGCATTTTTCAGCTTGTAGTCCACTATGCGTTTATTTTATTGACCTCATTTCAAGTTCAAGAACTATACTTGTAATGGTTTGCCAGTGCCAAATTTGGTGTGAAGAAATTTGACTTAAATAATCCATTTAAGTCTTTGAAACGACTTTTCACCGGTAGGCAACTCTCAATTTACCCATTGGGGAGTCAGTGGCGCCCCTGTTAGTAAAAAGGCGCTTATTTAGATAATATTTTAGTAAAATGTAAAATCTGAATATTCTCGTCCATTATTTACTTACTTACATTGTGAAAAAATTTGGAAAAAATCGAAATAAAATGAAACTTCGCTGACCCTGTAATTCTGAAAACGAAGCATTTTAAAAACTTAGCAAGTTCATTTTTAGAAAGCCAATGCAACATTTCTGAGTTTCAAATAAAGATAAAACAAAACATATAATAATAATATGTAAATTATTTTCTTTGGATGTTACGCCATTATATGGCAAATAATACAGATTGTTTTATTAAAGATTTACGTTTTGGTTAATTCTAAAACTATCTTCAGATTATATGTGATATTACTTATGATATTACATTATAAAAAGAAAAAAATGAAATTATACCTTATAATCGAAAAAAAACGGCGTCAGCGATGGCTATGAAATGAAGATCGCTGTCATTTCATATGTAAACATATGGAGTATGTATCGATGGTTTTTCCAAGCCAACTGGACGCCGTTTTTCTGGATCATACGGTATTACAAATTAATAATAGATTAACAGTCGAGAAAAAAAAAAAGAAAAAAAACTCGTAAGTACTGATAACTTTTAAAATGGCATATTTATTTTATCTTTGTTTAATATAAAAACGAAATATCTACCTGGCTTTCACATAACCCTGTATAATTCTGTGAAATAATAATGGACAAAAATGCAAGGTAAGAAAAAATATTTACAAAAAAATATGTACTTGCTGTATTTCTGACCATTGTTCGTCATTTTGTTATCATAATGGTGACCTCATCATAAAAAACGTAGTTATTTCTTATACCTGATGTGAAACCATAGGAAAAAAGTAATACTGAACAAAATATTTTAGTCTTGAATAATTAATAATGTTTTTATTTAAAATATATTCCGGTTTATTCTAATTTATCTTCAGAATCTGAAAAATAACGTTTATAAGAATTTTAAAATGATATTACATTATGAAACAATATTTTGGAATTCTTGGTATGTCTCAATGGCTCACCCTATAGCTTTTTATTTTTCAGATAAAAAAAACAGATTTGTATAGCTGTAGGTAAATGACATAAATTAATTTATTGACGTATTCAATAATGTGTGGTCTCTTCCTGTTTCACCGAGAAATGATTACATCTTTTGATTTTAAAGACACCCTCAGTATATTGCTACTTTATTCGATAAAAATGACACTATGAATAGAATGACATATCATATGTCAACTTTTGACATTGTCAAAGCTTAAAACAAAACCTATTTTAAATTTCAATCCAGGGGTGCCATGGTGTTGTTAAAATACTAAGTTTTAATCAAGGAGCCTTGGAAAAATAAGTTCCAGGACTTAAATAGTCCAATTCTCTTACAAATTTGCACTGACGAACCATGTTTTATAGTTTTTAAAATAAAAAGTAATCAAAATAAATTGACTAAACCGACACTACTAATACACTAAGAAAATCGAATCCAAAAATACAAAATCAAAACATCCAATAAAAAACAATAAAGTAGCCATGGAGAAACTGTGACAACAAGGTTTTACGAGTCTTGTCTAGGGCCGGTAAAAAATGTACATATCAAAGCCTTTTTAATCATACATATGTCAATTTTTTCAAAAATGGAACAAGGGTGACTCGTTAGCATATTTGTAAAAAAGCATTTTTTATGAATATATTGATACCACACACTTGCTATTTCTGAGTTCAAATTGTCGTTGTTATGAACCGCGTATTACAATTACAATTAAACCATATGCGAAAAATGTCAAAAGTTGACATATGATATAACTCATTCCTATTACAGTTTTTGTCAATTTGTTTCGAATAATTTGTAGTAATCTACTAAGGGTGCCGTTTAAAAATTAAAGTTATAGTCATTTCCGATGAAACAGGAAGTGACCAGAAACAATTGAATGCGTCAATCAATAAATAATTTATGTCATATACTAACATACTGAAAATAACTTAGCTTTTTTATTTGAAAATATAAAAAAATATGGGGGATGAGCAACATTTTGGAACTGCCGGCAGATAATAAACTGACATACCGAGTTAAATAAATGCTGGATTTCATTTTTATCCACGCACCGTGTTGCCATATGGACAAGAAAGTCTATGTTTACAAGTAAGTCATAAAATCACAACTTCCTATCACCTTCCTCGTGTTTTAATGGATTGACTTATATTTTCTCTAATTTACATAAGACATAACTCTAACCAGAAAAAAATTACAACATAATCATATATTATTTTTTCTCTGTGCCGATTCCTATTATATCCACTGTGAAATAGATCCTGTTTTTGATTAATAATACATTAAGGGTTGTAAATGTTTGACTAAAATTAATAATTTACTATTAATTTCAAAAATTACCTAATTTTGATATATAAAATTTCTTCTATAATGTGTATTTTATTACTTTTTATCCTTTTTTGACTCTAAATTGTTTTTTCTAAACTTTTACTTTAAAAACTGTCCTAAATCTTTAATCAAAATATAAAAAAGCTTAAATACGATATATTTTTTAATTTAATTATAGCTTTCGCTAAAATAAAAAAATTACCCGGCTATTCTATGGAGAGTTCAGGTGTACTTGAGAAAAACGAAAGACAGTGTTGTGCTTCTCGGCAGAGTCGTCAGGGTAACGACCGTTACGACAGAGACAACCTTATCTAGTTTGCGTCATGAGGTTGCCGTAGTTTCAACAATTTCAAATTCAAGACACTGAAGCACCAAATTCTATTAAATTTTAAAATAAAAACAGAAAAACATGAAAGGAAACAAACAAAACACAAAATGAATTGATTATTGATAAGGTCACAAAAAGAAATTTCTAAATTGTTTATCGTAATTCAGAATTCAATATATCGAAAACAGCCCGACGAATAATCAATTCATTTTCGAATCTCTTGAATTTGAAATTGTTGTAACTACGGCAACGTTGCTTAACATCGTCGTCTGACGCAAGCCTGCCACGACGGCGCGGCTCAAAGGACCAGTTCACACGTGGCACTCTTGGCCGACGCGCGACGGTCGGTCTGTCAAAATACATCGAAAAATAGCGAAAAATAAAATAGGTATTTAAAATTGTTGAGTGGAAACATGTCTTAAATTGCACTGATGAAAATTTAACATTCTTAATTTTGAGTAGAAATTTTTCTATGAATTTATAAATTTAGAACTATGTAGAATGTGGATAACATAGGAGGTTACAACACTGCATGGTTTAGATACACCGTAGAGAAATCTCAGGTGAATAAACAAGTGGCACTAAAAAGTTTTTTCAAATTTCCCGGAAAATGTCAAGAAAAATTTTAAATTTTCAACATTTTTTTTTCGCAAAAAAACCTCATAGGCGTGTTTCTGGGGTTGAACTATACTACCAGTTAAAATATCTGCACTTATTTCTGGGACACCCTGTATATTTATGGTTTTTGATTATTGTTTTTACTTCATATATGGTTTTTATTATTTCTTTAAATATTAATTATTTTTTAAATGTTAATATGTAGGGCTGAAAACTTGTATCAATTTTGCTGTTTTTTCAGCCCTTTTCTAGAATGCAAATGTTATATGTATTTTTTTTTCTCTTTGTACTTGATTTGAATTCTACAATAAACATTATATTATTATTATTATATTATTACTTTTTCTAGCTTTTAGAAAACAGAGGATATGCATATAGAAAAAATATGAAAATATGTAGGACGTGTTTGTCTTCAAGAGATGAAAGAAGATTGTATATAAAAATAAGTAAAATTCGGGATGATCCCTTACGAAGTATGTTTGAGAAATGCTTCCCAACAATGGTAAGTTTATGTCTCCCATTTAAGTAGAGTTTAGATAATAATAAAAAAGTTATATATATATTTTTTGATTTTTGCATTCTACATAAAATTCAGAGTATAGGATAATTAAACACTTAAGAGTCCATTTCACTAGTCTGAAAAATAGCAAAATAAGCGTTCGGCATTAAACGTTTTATGGAAAACTGGCTAGGTATTTTTACACAAATGAAGAAGGAAATTAAAGATAAAGGATTATACCATATCCGTATAGTAGCACATTTTTAGATAACTTCTTTATTTTAAGATTTTGATGGTCAAACATCAACAAAATATTCCATATGTTTGGACTAAATTTTCTCGAGAATAAAGACATAATTTAAAATTCCGTTACAATACAGAAATAGATTGAAGTTTTGTGATTACAGTGATATATAATTTATATGGTTTTGTAACAAATTGCTTGCTATTTTATGGCAAATGCTGAAGCTCTGCAGACCTTAATTAAGCCTTAATCAAAGCACGTGTGTTTGGAATTTTGGGTGTGGCTTAACACAACAGGATCAGGCTAAGCTTTAGGCAGATTTCTGAAATATAATATATATTTCCTTAGGCCTTACAGCGTAATAGACTCTTAAACATCAGTGCATTTATTTATTGGGTAGTTATATGACCAATATATAATATTGATTTTCAGAAATCAGAATCTTAATTTCATACCTTTGTTTACTTTTTATTTCTGTCAGAAAATAACAAAAAACTAATATTATATATAAAATTTGAGTGACAAGTTATTACTTCAAAATAATGTGAAAAAATACTGTATAAAACTGAAAAAATCTAATCGAGTTATTTTATTAAAAAAAATTATGGTGTGTTAATACAAAACAAGCAAGGGTGTATTTTAAACAAAACACCATGTACCAAAAAAATATATAAAAAAGATTTCTCACATTCAAGCTCAAGCAACTTCCTGCATTTATTATCACATTTATCAATATAACTTATGTAAACCGCATCTTTGTATCTATACTTATAAACTAGAAACCCTGTAAAATATATGAAAATGAGACATCCTGTACATTGTTCCTCTTCCAATATAACGGCCTACACACGTAACGATTTATCGTACTGCGTATTGAACTGCAGATCACAAAGAAAATCGTACGGCTTGCAGTACAGCCATTTTTTGTACACACGATGCAACACATTGTACTGCCGCAGTTCAGATTATTCACTTTTCATCGAGAAGGGCTACCGTTATGTCAAGAATTTCAAAGAAGAAAGCTGCCGTGCTTGTAGCTGCGGTATTGCTGATAGATGTAGATGATGAACAAAAAGAAATCAAAAAGTGAAATGGTGTAAAAAGTGGTTGCTGGAGAGAAAGATTTTTTTTTTCATTTTATTTGCATAATCTTTTGATTTCACGTCCCATAGGCATCTATTTTCTCTATATAAATCAATAAAGTCTTCCCAGAACGTCTTATTTTTTAAATCCATAATATTGATTAAACCAAAAATAAATAAAAATTATATCGTAACTGCGCGCTGCGGCAGGGAATACACTCCACGCGTTCAAACCCCACCCCAGACACCACCCGTTGATACGATATTTTACGGAAGCTCCGTACTGCAAACGATTTGACGACTGCATACTGCAAATCATCCAATTTCCCTACACACGCTACGATTTATCGTTAATGCGGCAGTTTCGATGGATATCGTACTGCATGCAGTACGATAAATCGTTACGTGTGTAGGCCGTTTATGACCTGAAGCATGATACAAAAATCATGGTATGCTTATGCGCATGTATAGCTTCATCTCTCTCGCACGTCATTCGTGCGAAAAAAAACGAACAGAAAGAAACGTTACCTTCGAATCAAAATTTGAAATCGCCAAATGTTAAAGCACAGCTTTTTATAACAATTTTGAGTTAAATTCGAGATTTTGTTGCCTATAAGCTTTTTATATAATTTATGCATCAATTTTATTAATATTCCTTAATTAGTTTATAATTTCACAGAGTGAGAATTAATATTTTGTTGACTAGATGATCTTTAATTCTATGTTTTGAACACACAATACTACACCAATAAAGTCTGATATATTTTTATTTATTTCTTACTGAATTAATATAAACATATCGTCAAATCTCTCCTCGGACATTATTAACGGGAATTAATATGCTATAATTCCCTCTATCTTTTATAGGTAACAACCATGTAATACAAGAGATTTTGAGTAATAATATCAAATGAAAATGGACACTCATCGAACTACTTTAATAATTTATTTACATCATTAATGTCACATATAATAAATCTACAAGAGATAAATCACAACATTTTTGAGTAATAATGTAAAATGAAAGTGGATACTCATTTAATTACTCTAATAATGTAATTTATTTACATCATTAATGTCACATATAATAAATTTACAAGGGAACAGTTTCATCAACATCCCCCAACACGCATTTTCATATTTCTGGAGAGTATCGTTCATTTGTATTTCTAAACTGATCAAGTCCATTTGACCTAAAAAGTTTTTTTTTCATTAAAACTGCTATAAATATACAAAATTAAACTTACTGGGGATTATTAATTCTGGTGGGGGTTTTCATAGTAAGACTAGTCTCTATTGCTTTGGTTAATTCAGCCATCATGGGTCTATTACCAAATGCTTGGTTTTCTTCGTTACTTCAAGATTGCAAATAAGGTTCTTCATATGAAGTCTCAAATGACTCCTTTAATATCTCCGTAATTTACTGTGTTATGTTGCCTTCTTTTAGAAATTTGACCAGATCTTGCAGTAGTCTTAGGTTTATGAGATGAAGAAGGAATATTTAATACTGACACAGTGTCAAATTTTAAATTGCGGCTAGTTTTTGGATTGTATTGTAGCAACCTTTGTTTAATTGCAATTTCGAAGCTATCAGCAAAATGTATGGAGCAGAGACAAGCTAAAATAAATGAACTATATATTTATATATGTCACAAACATATTGTGTTCTATTTAGAATTCTTCACAATGATACTCGATAACTATTGTAAACAAAAAATTGAGTAGGATAAGGATATCCCTAAATATATTAGTTTAGTTATTATTTAAAGTAGATCTATAAATTAAGTGATTCAAAATGTAAGCTCAGCATTTTTTAGATTTATCTTATCCTCTCGACAGCAAGCAATTATCCACTGTTTAGCCAAATCTTCTTGGAAATCCGAAATATTTACTTCGTTTTCCGATTAGTGTTGTTGCAAGTAGCCACCGCACACACAGGCATTTTAAGCTTTTAAAACAAATTAATAGCTAGTCTAGCCACCTAAAATCAATCGTACTGAATACTAGGAACTGAATTACGGAAAATACTAACAAAACTCGCTATATAAAAACAAGCAAATTACCATAAAACCGCGATATAAACCAAAAACCAGATAAAAACCGTTCGATCCTTTGAATAAGAAGACTAAGGAAGGAGCATAATGCTATCCATGTATTCATGCATGGTGGGCGGAAAAGCCACCATAAAAGCTCTCTAGGGTGGGGATCCTTGACAGTTCTGTTTGACGATTCATTTGACACATTTGAATTTGATTTGAAATTTTGTGGATTTGTCAGTCTTTACGGAGCTTATTTTATGTTATTTATTATTTATTCTACTACTGATAGTTGTATAAAGGTAGTAAATCTAGATGGAAATTGTGGCAGAACTTAAATTAACAGTGACACTATCGCGATTTATCGAAAAAGACTCTAAAATAGTTGGTTGTGTAGCGTGCGGTAGATCTCGGCAAAAATTGAGTGAAATAATGGAACAACTTTTCGCTAGTAAGTGACTATATAATATACATACGTGTAGTAAACCGATCATTTATGAAATTCACTTAAGTTAACTAAATTATATATTTTTCTTGCATTTTAGCTTTTATTTATTACTTGTCAATGATTAGATGTCAAAGAATTTAGATACGTTAATTTGACTTACCTGCTTCAGTAGCGTATCGGATGTTTGTGTTAATAAATACTTATTATAACTTATCTATTTTTATTAGAATTATATATTTTTATAACAGTTTTAATAACTACCAACATTTATTCACAACGTAAAATAAAACAACAAATTATTGAGTCTACCCCACGTCTACCCTACATCATAGTTTTACATTTTTTAAATAAAATTAGAACGACACTGATAAACCGGAATTTAAGTCGGCCATATTTGAGGCCCATCGCGGTGTACCTAAGATTTTTGATATGCTCCTTCCTTAGTCTTCTTATTAAAGGTTCGATCAAATGCAGCTGTCAAGGATTTGATTCGAAGGTTACGTCATGCGCAGACATGAACCAATTTGAAACGACAAATAAGTATACCATGTTTTTTGTATCATGACCTGATGTTTAAAGTGAATAAGAATTACGTTTTCAGATAATCGATGAAATAAAAAATCCTGTGGTATGCAATGTGTGTCTTGAAAATTTGGAGGAATACTTTAATTTTATAATGGAATGCCTGAGTACAGAAGAAAAAATAAATTATTATTGCGAAGTTAACAAGTCGATCAAAAAAGTTAACTTGCATAATGTTTATGTATTCTCGGAATCTGTAGATAACGACGATATATCGAATACCTGCGTGGGCGTGGACCAAATTGATGATACACAGATGATAACAGAAAGTGTACCGGAAATAGGACACAATTCGAATTCTTCCAATCCTTGTACTGAAAAGAATTCTGAGATTGAAAAAGCCGAAATTAAAAATTACAAAAATAAACACAAAACCAACGATGTAGTTACGTTCCAAATAACAAAAAGCAATAACGGTGAAGAAATTATAACAGAAACGTTAGAGGATAGCGACGATGAAATGGATAGTGATTTGTATACACCTATGAGTCAAGTTTTAAATGTAAAATACTCTAAAGACCCTAATCAGGACGAAGTTCACACGGAGGAGTTTGTAGATGATAAGCGTGATGATGATATGTTAGTGGATGTACCAGATTATGCTGAAAGTACTGGAGAAGATACAGATGATTCAGACTATGGGTAAGATTTTTTATAACAGAGATCCTTTTTCCTTTTACATTTTTTCCTTTTTGGATTTTACATTTTTTTGCAAGTAGTGTATTGCTGTATTTCACTATAGAGTATGTCTCTGGATTGTCTTTACAAGAGGAAAAACGTTTTTATTATTGACATTTTCTGAAAAATTGCATTTTTGCTAGTTAATCCGGTTTAGACTTTTCCAAATTTCCATACCGTTTTACAGAAAATTAAAAAAACGTAATAAATACAGGGTCAGGCAATAGTGCGTCAATCATCTGTAGCTCCTAGAATAAAAAAACTTGTGAATTTCTAGGATAGAATTTTCTAGAATAGAATAATTTAGAAATTCTAGAATAGAATTTTCCAGAAGATCCGCAGCTGTATAAAACGGCGCGCTATCGGCAGTTGGGCCAGTTTGAAGTTTGATAATACCGCGTTTTAAATTGTGAATTAATTGGCGAAGGTGCCAGAGTTAGAATAATAGTAGTTGCATAAATTGTGTTTTATAATCAGTATAAATTGTGTGTATAGAGTGAAAAAAAAAGTATTTTATCGTGAGTTTAAATTAGTGGACCCACGGAATCCGTAACATTAGGTATTTACTTTAGATGGTCTGTACTTCCTTTGCTATAAAAATGGAAATTGTAAATCATACAGGATGTTCAAAATTATATGCCAAACTTTCTAAAATATAAAATTTTTCTTTTTTTTTAAATGGAACACCCTGTATATTATTTTTTCAATAGATGGAGAATTAAAAAATGAATATTTTTTTGTATTTAGAGTATTTCAAACATTTTAACGGTTTTGCAGATATTCGCGGTTTTATATTTCATATTGCATCAATACAAAAAATGTTCATTTTTTAACTCTCCTTATAATAAAAAAATAATATACAGCGTTCCATTAAAAAAAAAAAGAAAAAATATTTTATTTTTTAGAAAGTTTGGTGTAGAATATTGAACATCCTGTATGATTTACGATTACCATATTTATAGCAAAGTAGGAACAAACCATCTAAAGTAAATAACTTTAACAACAGCAAAAATATGACGTTAATCAAAATTAATAATAACCATCTATCAAAGAATGAAATCGGAATTCTATTACCATAGAAACGCCTTTTGATTTTAAGGATGTCAGCTTCATAGATAAGATACTATATAATATATAAAACAGATAGGAAACTCAATACATTTTGTCCGGACCGAGCGGTGGCGCCATCTCGTGGGTCTAGTAACGAAATAAAACATACATTTAAAACGGATGGTTTCTATTTTTTGGGATTTTTCCATTTATTCCAGTAAATTGATTCAAGGCAGAACCAATTTACTCGAATAAATGAATTTAAGTTAAAATAACAAAGGGGATATATCAAAAACACAAAAAAAACTATAAGAAACGATCCTTATTGAACTGAATATAATAACAAAAACAATACAAAACATTATAATAATAAAATCTATCTAAACCTATAACAATTAGGGCAACCTATTTTACAAAAAATTAACAATCTTAAAAGAAGGGAAACTATCTTGGTTTATATTATGTAACACGTGTTATCACTTACTATTTGATCCTTCGGAAACATATGCATTTGACCATCTTTTTGGTAATTCTTACACCCAGTAACACAACACTTAAAAACCATTGTCTACAGTTACTACTATTTGTCTACAAATATGAACAGAGCCGTATAAAAATCAAAAACAAGTTTAAAACCATAGATAAATGAAACAAGTTTAGATTGGAAAGTGCCCATAAGGACAATGTAAACACTATTTGGCGCTATTCTTGCAACGGTCGCGACCCGAACTTTTGAAAAATTCGGAGTGGTTCGGCTTTTTTCGGAATTATATCGCCAAATATTATTTATTCAAATTTATTATTATTTTCTTTTAATTTTATAAATAAAATACAGTGTGTATAGAAACTTTATTTTATATAAGGACATGTATGAAATACCTATGAAACATTCGAAACCGACGTTGTGCCACGATCCACGATGGTTTTTGCAGTTCACAGTTCAGAGCATAGCTTTTTAAGTTTTTAATGTCACTTTTTCAAAATTATCACGGGTTTGACTAAATAAAACTTAACTTAAACTCACAAGATAGCAATAATTACTTTGAAAATGGACGCTTTAAACACTTTTCGGAATTTTTTCAATGAGAGCGGTTTAGATTTAGAAAGATTTTATAATTTTTGAAGATTCTGACTTTGACAAGAGATATGGACAAGAGAAAGTTATTTTTGTTTTTGTTTGCGGTTGCTTTTAGCAACCGCTATTGCAGCGCCAGATCGCGTACAACGGTCACGACCCAAAATAATTTCGCGACCCAAAATGTTGACGGGCTTTCCAATCTAAACTTGTTTCATTTATCTATGGTTTAAAACACGATCTACGGATAACGGGCAAAATAAAATATAAATTGACAACTGTTGACAGGTTAAATTTTACATTTGACGGGAAAAGCCAGGTAAAAACAGGTAAAAATTTAAATTTCGTATTTTTTTTTGCTAATTGCGCCCCCTCGTGCGTCTAGTACTGGACTATCGGCTACAACCTTTCACTTCCATAAGAGTTTCTTAGGCATGGTCAGCTTTCAAGGAAACATTCAACCGTATTTTCATGTTTTTTTTTAATTTTCTCTAAAACAGTGTGATTTTAGAACAAGCAAACATTTTTATGAAGAATGCATTTTTCTCAAAATATCCATAATAAAAATGCGTTTCCTCTTGTGAAGACAATACAGGGACATACTATACATAGTGTGCTATGGCTGTGTTAGAAACACTAATTCTTAATCAAGGAACCTTGGAAAAATAGATTTGATCGTCTAATGTTTTGGTAGGTTAAATACTGCTCAAATGGTATTTTTAATTATATCTCAATTTTTTCAAATGGAACGAGGGTGGCTCATTAGCATATTTTGAAAAGAATTTGTTTACGAATAATTTGGTACCACACACTTGGGCTTTCGAGTCAAATTGTCGTTAACTTTTATGGCCATGGCACTCTAAATTAAAATTTAAAATACTATTATTTTTAATTGAAAATGTCAAAAGTTGACATATGCTATGTTATTGTATTCAGAATATCATTTTCTATCTAATGAAGTAAAAAAATACCAAGGGTGTCATTTTAAAATCAAAAGTTGTAGTCATTTCCGGTGAAACAGGAAGTGACCGAAAATAATTCAATACGTCAATCAATTCTAATTTATGTCATCTACTAACTTACCAAATCTCGTTTTTTTTATCTGAAAAAATAAAAAAGTTATAGGGGTGAACCACTTTTGAAACTCACCCGGTATGAACCTACCTTAACATTATATAAATGAAAAGTAATTATTATTCTATAAAAGTATTTTATGATAAATAAGAAACATTTTTTGTAGTTTTTAGGTAGGAAATGTCTACCTTGTCTAATCGTACTCTTCGCCACTGAGCAATACCCTATACTATATTAACTAGGGTTCCGTTATTTACCAAGTTGATCCTTTCTCTCACGACGCCCTCTAAATTTTTAGTTCATTGTCTAAAAAAAATAACAACCATTGTAAACCCTTAATATTCACAATAAACCTTGCCCCAAAGACGATTCATTTCCCATTTAATTTACATGGGAATTTGCCACTTTTTGGAAATATCTTTTTTTCTGTCGATCTTTTCGTCTCGCAACCATGACAATCACATATTCTTCTACAGCCTTGAACGCTCTACAAAAAAGGTCTATTACAATTTTTCGATAAATCTACTCCTTCAAAAGTTATTCACTGTTAAAGTTAACCACTCGGTAAATTCCTAAATTTTCAGCTTTTTTGACAAAATTGTGATTATTTTTGAAAAATTTAATCTATTATTTGAAAAAAAAACAATTTTCATGATACCATGATAAACAATTTTGAATCATGGCAAACAATGAGGAAAATGCATGTTTTTAATTAATGGTTTTAAAAAATAGTTCATATAATTACAAATTGAACAAAAAAAATCGTTGATATCGGTTAAGAAATGCCTCTAATATAAAATAATTAAATATTGTTAATTTAAATGACCGGGCAAACGCTCTCTACCGCGCCTTGCCGCTGTGACGTCACCCGCCGTTCTTCTGGTAGAGTGGAGCCAGACGCGTGTTTATTTTACACAGTTTGCTTTTAAATGCTGTTGAATCCGAATCAAAATTTTAGTTATTTGTGTTAATTAATACATAATTAGTCATTAGTAATATTTATAAATAGTAATGGATGAGCGAAAACAGAAAAAAATGGTCCAAGGCCATGAGAAAAGATGAAAAGAAAAACGTTAAATTATCCTCTATTTTTACGATTTATTGTTGTGAAGATCATTTTCATGTAAGTTCATATATTTATGTATATTGTCTTACATAGGTATATGAAATTTGAATGTGTGTGTGTACAGGGTTATTCATTAATTTTGACACCCACTACAGCCTTAACTGCAAGTTTTAGAAGAAAACATTAAATAAAAAAGTTGCATGGTTTTTCATATACTCTCTTTTAAAATTAATTCTAGTTATACAGGGTGTCTCAAAAAAGGTGGTCCAGAAAATAGTAGGTATTTTTCGCTTTTCAACTGTCAATATTTGGTAAACATTTGAAGATAGGTATAGGATATTATACATGAAATATATAAGGAATATCTAGAAATTTCCGAAGAATCCAAAAATATATAGAGTGTTTCACTTAAAAAAGTAGCTTAATTTTGGCGTTTGCTTATGGGACACCTTGTATAATATTTTCATTAGTGATAAACAATTTATTTCCTATAATTTCGTAAAAAAACAATCTTTAAAAATAACAAGGGTAAGGGGGTGTCAATATATAAAAAAACTTTCTTTTTTACGCTATGCTCTGGAGTTATTTTTCCACGTACTAAACAAATATTTTTGTCTCTTTTCACTTCTACATAACCTACAGCATTATCTCCATACGTCTCTCTACCTGATCTGAAAAATAAGTTTATAACATTAATATTTATAACTATATAAAAGTTCGTAACAGTAGGTACCTACTTATACTTAAATATGCCTCAGTACTACAAAGAATAAATGTTACATACCTCTTTGTTTTTTTTCTCGTAATTCAGCACCAATAAATTGGGAATTTGTATTTATAAAAGCTGCCAACATAAAAGCATCGACTTTTGGCAATTTATCTGATTGTGCTTGTACAAACCCGGAATCTGCCATTACTTAAAAAATTCTCAGGACACACAACACATACAAATAATAACTGCACAAAAAAGCATAAAAAGCTCCTTCAATCAACGCTAAAAGCAACAAAAATGTCTTAGTACGCCACCTAAATACGTACATAAACGGAACACGTCTGGCTGCTGCTGACCATCGCGCGTCGACGAGAACGGCGGGTGACGTCAGACCAATAGAATATCGTTTCAATTCGCGAGGCGTCGTTTGCGTTATCAATAGTATTTTAATGGCCCGTTTTATAAAATTGTGGTACTGCTTTCAAGAAAAAAGTTTTTTTTGCATTTATACATATTTATTCTAATAAATTGAACAGTTTCTGGCGAAAAATAAAATATATGCATCTTCCTCATTGAATGTATGACAGGTAGTTAATTCTAATATATACTTATTATTTTTGAGCTTGTATTCTTTTGCAGTACTTAATTAACTAATTTTAAGTAAGTTCGGAAAATTTCTGTTATTTTCCTAACGTTTTTTTTTCTATTGAGTTGACGATTTGAATTTATTTTTACAAACATGCTTGCCAACATACGGATTTTTTCTACGCCAGCGCACTTCAACGCATTTGGTATCTCGAATATAGACACTTAAGTCTAGCCGGACCGTTCAACTCTCCAACTTCCAACCCAAATTTCCGATGGTGGTCGAAGTCTCCCGATCATTTTCCAATGATGCCCGCCAAATTTAAATCGCGAGTTATTTACTTGTCTTTTATTATAAACTTGTAACTTTCGAGAGTAAGTTCTTAAGTAATAGTAGCATAATATAACCTAAATTTCAAAAACGTACAAATTATGATAATGTTACGGATTCCGTGGGTCCACTATTTAAACTCACGATAAAATACTTAACGAATTTATTTGTCTCACTCTGTACACACAACTTATACTATTTACAACACAATTTATGCAACTACTATTACTCTAGCGGTATTTCGCGGTCTTCGCGGTATTATCAAACTTCAGACTATCTTCAGACTGCTCCAACTGTCAAAGCGCGGGACTTATATACCCCCTGGTTTCTTGAATTTTCTAAAGAATTCTGTAATTCCCTTTTACTTTCTGGCGAATTCGCCAGGTTCCTTAATGCACGTTACGGTTATGTAGCAGTAATGCAGTTATGCAATCAGTAATACACCTTGATCTTGACAATAATATATAACAGTTCTACAAAATCGATCGGGTATTTCGCGTGCAATCTACAGACAAAATACGCCTACGGCCTACGGCGTATTTTGATATGTCAAAAAAGGTGAAGAGCGTCGTGAGAGAGATTATCACAGATTATAAACTTTGTTTTTTCTTTATTGTTTTTCGTGGTTCCAATTTTTGGAATCGGGCACTAGTTAGGTTACTAGTTTGCGCACATAGCACGCCCACTTATGGCCCCTAAAATTGTGCACAGCGCCTGACCGGCACAGTTATTAGAGAGATATCGGAAAACTGAATAGCGTCATGCAGTATTTACGCGTACCTTATCATGGTTACGATATGCGCGAGTCAATTTTTAACGCAACACCCGCTAATAACGTTACCGCCTGACGTAATTTGCGGATCAATTACACCAAGCGCTATTTCTAAATAACGTTTAAAAATTGCTTAAATGGGCATGTGCGGGTATTTGACAACTGGGACCGGCCGGCGAGATGTTTTATTTTAGGTTATGTTTGAATTGTTTTGAATTATTAATTTAGTTTTATTAGGTAATTTGATATTTAAGTAGCTGGGATTAGTTTTAATTAAATAAATATGGCCTAAAATATGGACTCCACCTCTTCCAATATTAAAGAACCTATAAAGAGGCTTAGGTTCACAGCAGATGACGACTTAGCCCTTCTAAAAGAATTTGTTGTCGTAAACCCACTGGCAGACGTTGAACAATAAAGCACTGGAAATAAGCACTTTAACCCTTTAGTTTTAAAATACCTAGTAAACAAAACAATTTCAAAGTTTTAAATTCAAAGTTAGGTTAAGTTTAAATAGCGGACGCGACGCGAACAGAATTCTTACCGATCCGATAACTATAAATGAAGAGAGTTAATACCACCTCACGTAAAGGAAATAACACCTGGCCTTATTAACGTACATGCACGCTATTCGGTTTAGCGATATCTCTCTATTACGCTGTTTATTGTTATTTTACGCGAATTTATTTTTGCGCACAGAAAATTTTACTCGTTTGCAAATCGTCATAAAAAACAATTTTTGTACCACGAATTAGGGACAAGATTTTTATCTGTATACTTATCGGATACCTAATCTGTGCTAATATTTACCTTACCTAACCTAACCTAACACTTAACTGTTTTAATTTTTAGGTCAAAAAGCGGTCGATTCCGAACATGTAAACTTTGTGATTTTAGGACCAAATCTGCAATTTTATTTACAACCCATAGAGCGACGCATAAGGTTGTTTTTAAATGTGACTTCAGGATGGGCAAAAAAAGATGCAATTTTATATCTGTAGATAATGAAAAATATCAGAAGCATCGCGAAGAATGTCATGTGGGAAAATTGGCTGCACTTAACACTCCTGTTACTACTGTCACGAAAGCCAATTTATCTAAACATATGAACTCTCATAAACCAGTTTTACAAACCTCTAAGACCAATACACAGACATTGTTAAAAACTTTTAATTTAAAAATGCATAAATGTCAGTTTTGCCCCTATCAAACCAGAAGACGTGCGAATTTGGCTAGACATAATATGTCTGTGCATTACAAAGTTAGCGTAATTCATAGATACAAATGTAAAAAATGCCCCTTCGAAACAATACAAAAAGAGAACTTTTATTCTCATATCCAAAGTCACAAATCGGAAAGTCAAACCAAAAAATGCTTCTTATGTTCGTTTCAGCCGAAATCCGATGAAGATCTTAAAAAGCATGTCGATCTAGTTCATAAGAATAGGCAAACTTAAATTTAACAAATATTTGATGAGGAAAAGTATGTAACATTACATTTTGGATAGTTAAGTCTTTAAGTTCACATATGAAATTCGATTACGTAAACAAAAAATGTTGTAGTGTCTTGTTTTGGTTGTGATCTTTGAATAGAAAGATTAAGGAAGGAGCATATCAAGAAACTTAGGTTTTTTTAAAGAATTTCGACCTTATTGATTTGAAAATAACGATTGTATTTACGACGTTTTTGCTAATCACGGCAGAGCGCGTTGGGGACCTAAGATGGCCGACTTAAATTCCGGTTTAAAAGTGCTGTTCTAATTTTATTTAACATGTAAAAATATAATGTAGGATACGCTCAATAATTTGTTGTTTTATTTTACGCTGTTTACAAATGTTGGTAGTCGCCAAGTCGAGCACAGCCGTACCATTCTTTTCTCGAAGGTATTAGCGGCACTTTTGACCACCCTGTAACCAGTTGCGTAACTAAATTTTTGCTGCGAACTGTCATTCTTGAAATATGGTCCATATTTATGTTTTTAACGGGATACCCTGTATATTATATTTTTATTTTATTTGACTTTTGATATTTTCCAATAAATCTGATAGACAGCGTGTTATCTAAAAGCTGGCAGTTTATTAAGATAACACAATGGAAAGTGAAATTATCTGGTTAAATTAAATAAAATAAAATGATAATACCCTTTATACTAGACTAGTTGAAGCATGGCCCATCCGCCACGACACACAGTGCTTCGAACATATGGCTCTAGAGGACAAAAATCCAAAACTTCTCTTTTATTGTAAGCAATTTATTCAAACTAGGTTTATTTGACACAAATGATGAGTACTCTCATTGTACTAAATGATGATGTTCTTAGTCCCACGTTTATGAAAAAAAAATCTTATAAATAATAATAATGTTGGATCTGTGTTCCATCTAAGCAAATAATAAGTTATAGTATGAAAACGGTGTAAGTATTAAATAAATTCCTGTGATAAAAAAGAATTGGAATAACATTAGAACATGATTCCTACAATATAAACCTAATATAAGATAAAAATGTTTTTCTTTAATGAAAAAGAAACATTAATGTTATATTTAATTAAAAAAAAAATTAAGATACTATAAATTTACTTTAGGACAACAAAATGCATAGATCGTAACTACTCTGATTCAGGAGAATCACTGCTGACAGAATCTTCCAAATTTATAGTATCCAAATCACAGGTAGATGAAGTATCCTCACATATAAGATATTTCTGTACATCATTTTCTAATATGTTACTTTTTCGCGTTACTTTTCCTTCGGATGTTAATAGTTACCTATTTAATAGACCATATTCATATATTATTTTTTCCTTTTCTTGGGCATGAGATTTTATAATAAATTGAAAGATGGACACTTTTTTTATGCGACGTTTCGCTCCAACATAGTGGACTTTTTCAGGCACAAGTGGTGTCTCATTTGACTGGAAGGTTCATCAATATCTAATAAGAACATATTTTTTGAAATACAAATAATTTTGAGTTCTTGCTCTTATGATTAAGCCAAGTATTAGCCAGATCGGCATTGCTTATCAATTTTACTCCATCTGAAAAGTATTATAAAATAAAGTTCGTCGCAAGCAGACGCAGGTGAACTATACAAAAATTAAAAGTGTATGGATATGGCAACAAAAATATTCAATAAATACGATATGTTTTGATATGTTTTTTAAATGCCTTTTTGAAGTTTGATAACGTAAAATTTTTATACCTATTTAAGAATCATCTTAAAAAATAAATAAAAACTAAACAATCACGAACTTGTTTAGAAATAAATTTAAAGTACATACCTTGTGTTTAACAATATCCATAGTGGCTTTCAATTAAGTACTTACCCGTTTAACTCCATAATATACAGAACTACTATGAATGTTATTCTTTTCACTGATGAGATAATGATCGCAAAATTTGAGATAATGATCGCAAAACAAAAACGCTGTTTATGAAAAATAATATACAGGATGGTTGAACATTGCTATAAGTATAAAATTATATATTCAGATATTAGTAAATTTTAACTTATTTTTTGATTTTTGTCCATGGGACGAAGCACTGTGGCAATATAAGGAAAAAAAATACTTTTTATTTTTTTTTAATTAAATGAAAAACAAAAAATCCGGCGATGACAGTTTTTAGAAGAGCCAATTAGCTATCTTTTAGTCAAAAAAGCAACTTTCTAGAGCAAGTCGTTACTTCAGTAGAGATGACACAGATAAACATTAGCATTTTATATATGTAGATACTAAAGTTATGTTAGAATGTTTAAAAAAAATAATTTTCATACTTTGTTTATGAAAATAAGTAAAGAATATAGTATAATTTTAGAAAACTCATGACAAGGCAAATAATTAAAAAAAAAGTAATATACTGGTGTATATTAAAAAAAAATCTTAAAAGATTAAGGAAGGAGTATAATGCTATCCATGTATTCATGCATGATCGACGGAAATAGGACTCTAGGGCAGGAATCTTGGACAGTTCTGTTTGACGATTCACTTGACATATTTGAATTTGATTTGAAATTTTGTGGATTTGCCAGGCTTTATTGAGCTTGTTTTATGTTATTTATTATTTATTCTACTTCTGATAGTTGTTTAAAGGTAGTAAATCTAGAAGCAAATTCTAGCAGAACTTAAATTAACAGTGACACTATTGCGATTTATCGAAAAAGACTGTAAAATAGTTGGTTGTGTAGCGTGCGGTAGATATCGGTCAAAAATCGAGGGAAATAATGGAATAACTTTTCGCTAGTAAGTGACTAGATAATATACATATGTGTAGTCCGATCATTTATGAAATTCACTTAAATTAAACTAATTATTTATTTTTTCCTCCATTTTTGCTTTTATTTACTACTTGTCATAGATTAGATGTCAAGGAATTTAGATACGTCAATTTTACTTACCTCGTTAAGTAGCGTATCGGAGCTTTGTGTTAATAAATAATTATTATAATTTATCTGTTTTTATTAGAATTGTATATTTTTATTTTAATAACTACCAACATTTATGCACAACATAAAATAAAACAGCAAGTTATTGAGTCTACCCTACATCATATTTTTACATGTTATAAATAAAATTAAAACGGCACTGATAAACCAGAATTTAACTCGGCCATTTTAGAGTTCCGTCGCGTTCGATCTCAGAATTCTCCAAAAAAATCCTTTATGGGTATTTCGCCACTGCACTGCAAGAAAATCTTCAAAAATCACTTAAATTTATCTAATTATTTAATTTTTTCCTGCATTTTTGCTTTTATCTACTACTTGTCAAAGATTAGATGCCAAGGAAGTCAAGACGGAAGGAGGTCAAGTCTTCCTTAATCTGCTTATTTAAAGGTCGCTATATTTTTTTTCTACCAGTTTTGACAGTTGTTACTTTAAGAAGTAAATAGTATAATAATAATAATAATCTTTATTTAGCATATTGCTAGTACAAACAATACAACTAACTTATGCCAAAGGCTATTGAGTAATAAGCATTCACAAGTATTACATACAAGCATTACAAAAACAATTTATACTATTCCTAGGCCTTTAAATAAGTAGACAATTTCTTATTAAAACTTACCAGCGTACCTGCGTTTCTCACTGCGTCGGGCAACGAATTATACATAAGCAAACCCTCATATAAACAGTGTCTTTTGTAAAGAAGTCAATTTGACATGATTAATAGTGTAATTTTGCCCGGAACGAATATTATATTCAAAGAAATTTGCTCTTCTTACCAAAAAATTACTTAAGCAGTCATTTGGCCATGCTCTATCTTGTAAATAAGGACGAGGTTTGCCTTATGAACCAATTTATCTACCGGCAGCCAATCCAACAAATTCAACATTGTTCTTATACTAGTATATTTGCTACAATTTAATATAACACGCATTACTTTATTTTGTTGAATTTGCAGCCGGCCCAACTCTTCCCCTATACATGAAATTATAACGAACTACAATATGTGAAATGAGGCAATATTATTGTAATATAAATCAACTTCCTTGCCCACAGTGATAAATTATTTGATATACGCAGAAAAAATCCTATTTTTTTTACCTAATTTTTTACAAAGATAATCAACCTGTTTAGAAAGTGTCAACTGTCAAACGAAAAACCCATAGGAAATTTCTTGATAAACTTGATACTAAAGTCTGGTCGACACAGTCATTGTGTACTTTGATCAAATTCACTTGACCGATTTTAAATCAGTTGGTGCGATCCAAACAGCCTCCAAGTGAGACGCGCGCAGCAACTGTATTTGATCCAAGCACACTTTGACCATGTCTTGGTTGACTAGGCTTAAATAGACAATATAATCTACTTTGACTACAAATCAAATTTTTGTATAATTTGTTTTAGTTCAATGTAAAATTTACCATTAATTGAGCGTCCGGATTGCAAAACGACCTTGGCCCGTGGCCGCGGGCAGCCCAGTAGGCAAGCGAGACATCGACGCTTTGCTGCGCGCCGATTTAACAAAATAAATACTTTTAAAACTACTGTCATTTCGTTAATAATTATCGTATCGTGCTGATTTTTGCATAGAAATACTCATGAGTCTTTAGCGCTCCCGACAAGCCTAAATAACTGGATTATTTTTTATATTTTTGAATTGTTTACATTGCCCAAGCATATTATAACTTTGAGGTAAAAATCTCTGTTATAAATTTTAAAACTGCCAAATATGAATACTATCATTTAATTAGTTATACATTTAGTTACAACATATTCAAAATTTAGGTCTATCGGTTTATGCTAGCAGTAATAACGAGTATAAATAAAAAAAATGGTCAGTACAACGCTCGCTGTTTTTAGCGCACGTTCAGCTTTGGGTTTAGTTTTAGCGCTATTTTTACAGAAAATAAATTATGAACTTTGATCAAATGACAAGAACATTATCATTGCCAATATCTCCTGGTTATAATGTAGTTCTTTTTTAAAAATATTGCATTGTTTTAGCTTAAAAAAACTTGAATTATGCGGGTTTTTTTGCGAGAGCTACCGGATCCGCGTTAATAAAGAGACGGCTATGTACGTCAATCATAGCCACAATAGACTGTAATTTTACCTCGTCACGATTTTTTGGAAATATTGCACTTCCATTTATCCAGATTTCTACTAACTTTTGACCTTTCTTTTTGGTCGCATTTCCCTCTATTTAATAATAAATAATTAAAAAACAACGCACATATACTACTGGTAGTAAACAAGCTGTGGCAAAAATTTTCTATACTCCGTGTAAACAAAAGACTATCTTAAATACTGTCTTTCGATTGACGTACAAAGCCATCTCTTTATTAACTCAGCGTCGGTAGCTCTCGCAAAAAAACCGCATAATTCAAGTTGTTTTTTAAGCTAAAACAATGCAATATTTTGAAAAAGAGAAGTACATTATCACCAGGAGATATCGGCAATGATAATGTTCTTGTCATTTGATCAAAGTTCTGAATTTAATTTCTGTAAAAATAGTGCTAAAACTAAAACCAAAACTGAACGTGCGCTGAAAACGGCGAGCGTTGTACTGATCATTTTTTTATTTATACTCGTTATTACTGCTAGCATAAACCGATAGACCTAAATTTTGAATATGTTGTAACTAAATGTATAACTCATTAAATGATAGTATTCATATCGGGCAGTTTTAAAATTTATAACAGAGATTTTTATCTCAAAGTTATAATATGCTCGGGCAATGTAAACAAATCGAAAATAATCCAGTTATTTAGGCTTGTCGGAACCGCTAAATACTCATGAGTAGTTCTATGCAAAAATCAACAGGATACGATAATTATTAACGAAATGACGGCAGGTTTAAAA